CAGTCTATGGTTTGTGAAAATGAGGAGTTTTCTGGTGTGCTAGGGACAAAAAATGAGCGCTTAGATTTTTAGGTGACTTTCGAAGAAGAAGATCGTGAAGCTATGCCATATTGGGTCATGATAAGATTTTGAAGTCCAAATCGAGCAGTTTTGCTCCTCGGACGATAGTGAGAAGAGGTCACTTAGTTCAATTGCTTGACTAGACGGGCGAACAAGAACTAATGGGAGGTGTGCATCTCTTGGTTTCCATGAATTCAACACTTGGCAAGAGGTGGTGGGGCTGTTTGCAAGTCGAGAATTTTGAGATGTGGCTAGGGCATGCTAAATCGGTAACAAGGACTAAATGGTTCTTTGTTTCAGTAAACTACACAGAACTAAAGAGGGGAACAATTTTGCGATATGCTCAAACTGTTCGAACGGAGAATAGGGTTGCAGCCTCGAACATGAATGAAATAAGTTTCTCAAAGCTCAGATTCCATGTAAAATTTCTGAGAAAAATTTTTATTTCATTTCCTCTGGATTACACCTTACTATACATATATATAATAGTGTAAACGACATGTCGGTCCACAAAATAGGAAATAATAATCCTTTTAAATTAGGAGTCCCACCAAATAGCATATATATATATATATATATAGGATGTGTATATATATATATATATATATAGGAAACATGTAATAAAGAAAATATAATTAGCGAAACATATGATCCATAGGGTGGTGAAGCACATAAATCAATCACACAAGCATGTGTGTCGATCAAGTAGTATACGTTTATGAGTTGTGTATTAATCACACAAGTATTCGTAGTGTGGTGAAGCACACACGTTGATCACCCAAGTATATGGGTTGAACAAATAGTATCCAGATTATGACTCTGTATATTGATCTCAAGAGGAACGATTCAATTATCAAACATGTCAAATTACTATTTTATTAATCTTAGGTTTAGTTCAAAATAATGAAGGTTTTTAAGGTTTCTAAAAGATCGTAAAATCCTAATTTCAAAAGAAAGACTGACCTTATGTGTGATAAGTTACTAGATTTGAAATCACTCCATTTAACTTGTTCAATGAATTCTAGATCCCTCAAAGAAATTCTCTACTATAGTTGTTAAACGGGGCCTATTACCTACTATTTTTCAAAATATAACAAATATTGATATTCCATATCATAATAATGTTCTCTTAACCCTGCAAGATTTCTTAGGCATTCACATTCTCCTTGAAGTTTGCAATTATTCACTAATAATATTCCTATTCGACTAAACTCTTTTGTTTTAATCTAATTGTACTTCTAGTTTTATTACGACAGTTCTAGATTACAACTATCTAATACAAATTGATTGTTCAGGTTTGATGGAAGATTAATTGGAGTTTTCTTGCTATGAAGAGTTATTTTTTGACGTTTGTTGTATGCATGAAAATTTGTTGTGGTATAGGGAAAAGTAAATGTTTTAAATTTATACGAAGATTCAACACAAAAATAAAAGAAGAGTTATAAAGAGGATGCATCAAAGTTTTTACAAAAAAAAAAAGGGAATAAAAAGATTTTTGAGCCTAGTTCTGTTGAAATAATTTCATTGGTATATATCATAGGTTACAAATGTTGCACTTCTCTGTAATTGAGGAAGATATTTATACATTATAATAGATATGAATTATGCAAAACTGATTCCATGATAGAAGCTAGAAGAGTTTGGAGGAGTCATCTTCAAGAGATTGTTTTGTGATATATTTGATCATTCTTCATTGAGGATAGGAGTCAAAAGACTAAGATTTTGATTATAAATAGGTCTGTAATCAAGCCTAGTCAAGTTGAATGTTTCATGAATTAGACTCTACTTGGTTGAATCATAAGTTGTTCCTGTTTAGAAAGTTCGAGCTTGGGCTGAGCTTACAAATATATGTTCATACTTGACTTAATTGTTTTAATGATCATACTTGATTTGTACTTCACTTGCTTGTGTCAATTACACAACCTAAAATTTTAAATGAGTACATAATTTTTAATATAAAATTAAAATATTAATTTGTATTTGATTTTCATATAGTGCTAGTACATGAGCAAAAAATTCGAATTATTACTTGAATTTTTATAATAAATTATTAACAAATGATTTTACAAATCTAAATAAATAAACATTTGATTGAATTTCAAATTAGCATATAACTAGTTTATACTAATTAAATAAAATAATATATAAATTATAAGTAGTTTTTTTGTAATCAAATAATATAAGGTCACTGACAAATTATTTCAATGAAATAAAAAAAATTTATTAAATTTATATGCATTTTGATATTAACTTATAATATGTTACAATTAAATTTATAATTAAATAAGTTATAGTTAATCAAATTTCATTTAAAGATTTATCATATGAGTATATATTATTTGACAACTTTTTGAACTACAAATGATTTTATTTTTGAACATAAATAAATGAGTTGGATTATATTCAAATTTGGTATTTAACCATCAAATTTTAAAGAATGTCCAAACTTGGTTATTTATCAATTTGAACAAACATGATCGAGAGTTAATTGAGCAAAGTTCAAGTTGTTCGTCAAGTGCATTGGTTCATTTATAACCCTAAGCATAATCGTGGAATAGACTATAGCTGACATGCATTAGCCTTATCGACAGTTACATCTTCAACACTATTGACTTGATATAAACATTTCAAAGTTCAAAGTTCTTTTTTCAGACAATCATCGTTTAGAAGTTATCCAAAATGTTAACGTGCTTAATTCTCTTCTTAAGGATCCTTTTATGAATTTTAAAATAAAAAAAATTAAGCACCCAAAAAATATCAAAATCATTTTGATCATTTGTTGTATGGATAATATTTATTAATAACTCATCTGAGGTTGGATGATATTGAATTGATTTTTGTAAATTCTTAAATCAAATTAATGCTAGATCCTTTTTTTTTTTGCTGATGATGTGTCAAAACAAAAATCCAATATTTTTTTTCAAGGATCAATAGCATTTTAGGCATATAACTAAAACCCAGATCATAAATCTGTTAAAGTTTTGAGAAAAATAGGTTGAATTTTGAATAGGCTCAGATTGCCTTTTCCCTTTGCTTTCATTCCATTAAATAAGAATCTTACAATCTATTTTAGGTAAAAAATAAAGTGCATATAATCTATTTTAGGTAACTTAATAATACATATTTTTAATCTAAATATTCAACTAAAATAGAAATATATCTGAATAAAAATATTGGAAATAAGGAAGCTTTTAATTATAGAAAACTCTTAATTTAGCTACCTGATTTTCATCTGTCCTGATTGACATCCCCCTCAAATTGATGTTGGCTGATCAGGAAGCATCAATTTCCCAACAAGAAGCTGATAACATTGTCGGGACAAATAATCCTCAAGCCGTGAGTGCCGAAGCCTAAAAATGCCAAAGCCCAAAAATGTCAAAGCCTGAAAAAGCCGAAGCCCGAAAGGCTGAAGCCTGAGAGTGCCGAAGCCCAAGAGGCCTGAAGCCCAAGAGTGCGAAAGCCCGAGAGTGCCGAAGCCCAAAATGCTGAAGCCCAAAAGTGTCGAAGCCTGAAAGTGTCAAAACCCAAAAGTGCCGAAGCCTGAAAATGTCGAAGACCGAAAGGCCGAAGTCTGAGAGTGCCGAAGCCTAAGAGGTCGAAGTCTGAGAGTGTCGAAGCCTAAGAGTGTCGTAGCCTGAGAAACAACTCCTGAACAAAGAAAAACAAGAAGTCCTTTATCGTTGTCGTTCAGAAATTCAAATAATAGCCACAAGAAGGATTTGTCCGCGCCATTGAGACGACGAAAGCAGAGACGACCATCTGAGCGACGATGGCGAGGAAATAATGGGACGACGAGCAGATAAGCGAGAATCAAGACAAAGAAATAGTTCTTTCTTTCCCGCAAGAAGGTAGGAGGGAAGGGAGCCTTTTACGGTCCTCCAATAATTACCAGTGGTTAAGACAAAATTTTGGCTCTGATACCATGTTAAAGTTTTGAGAAAAATATGTTGAATTCTGAATAGACTCGATTGCCTTTTCTCTTTGTTTTCATTCCATTAAATAACAATCTTACAATATATTTTAGTTACAAAATAAAGTGCATATTATCTATTTTAGGTAACTTTATAATATATATTCCTAATCTAAATATTAAGTAATCTAAATATTAAAGCTAAAAGGGAAATATATCAGAATAAAGATATTGGAAATAAGGAAACTTCTAATTATAGAAAACTCTTAATTTAGCTGGCTGATTTCCATCTTTCCTGATTGACAGAATCAATAGATATTGTTTGGGCCAACCAGAGACAAAATAATCACGAAGCTACAAAAGCAGCAAATAGCTGAACCAAAGCAGCAAAACAATGAACTAGAGTTAGTCAACACAATCAGTTCTTAGTAAGGATCATAGCCATGTTCACGCATAAATTGAAACAACGCTTAAAAAAATATATTTAAAAAGAAGATAAAACACTGCTCATATAATCAATTTGCTCATCTTAATGCGTATGATTGTCTTTAAGACGGTGTAAACTTTTGAGGTGCCACTACTCAGTATCTTAGTCTTCTAGATGCTCTTTAAGTCACCTTTGGCTTGCTTGAAGATAGAAAAAATGTTAAATAGTAAATTTTACTATTTTCCATCGTGTAATTGTACCTAATTAAAATCAAAAATGGTTTTCAACTTCACAAACTCAAAATCCCACATTTTAAATCATTTTATTTCTTCACAAAATGAGTAAAGGATATAAACAATTTTCAAAATATGATTTCCATATCCAAGCAACCAAATGAATCCTACTTGAAAACAGAAAAATTCCTGAAAATTTGTTTCTAGAATCATTAACTTAGCAAGATGATGTTGATCTTATTGGCATGGCGGCTATGTTGTAAGTATTTATTTTTTAGATTTCTTTCACAAATTTATTATCTCTATATCATTCAAGTTCCTATCCATTTCTAACGGTAAAGTTGTTCTCATCTTTTCTCAACTAATTCAGGTACTACCGCAACATCACAGCAAATACACTAATCTTGCTTGAAGCTATGGCAGCACATAAAGTAAAAATACTGATATATTCTAGCACATGTGCTACTTATGGACAGCCTGAGAACATGCCTATCACAGAAGAAACTCCACAGGTTAGTATGTAACACTGACTTTTTTGAAAAATATGCTTTTTTAAAGTATTTGGACAATAGCTTATAAACCTCGATGACAAACAAGAAGCCTAACCAAGCAAGCTCTTATCTTTTGAATAAAGCTTTGCTCCCAAAATAAATCCACACTTAAAATCATTTATTATTATTATTTTTTATTGTTCTATTCTGATATGGATACCACTTCTTTTTTTTTAATTAGCTACATAAGTTGGGGATGAAGGAAGCCAAAAAAAAATTCATTTTAAAAATGGGATTTGTATAATTCTATTGTCTATTAGAACTGAATTCAGAACCATGTTTTACTGCAGTAAAGCTTGACATTTTTAACCCATTAAATTTTTTGAAGTAAATTTTGGATGCAGGTTCCAATTAACCCTTATGGGAAGGCCAAGAAAATGGCAGAGGATATAATTCTAGAGTACTCGAATAAATCAAATATGAGCGTTACAATTTTAAGGTACTGAACCTAATAACAAAGTCATCAAACCATGTACTCTTCTAGTGAGGTGACATACAGGCCACCATAGTTAAAAACTTGAGTATGATCTCGATTCCCATTTTTGCATCACTATCAGGTATTTTAATGTGATTGGATCAGATCCGGAAGGAATATTAGGTGAATCTCCAAGACCAGAATTGCGGGAGCATGGTCGCATATCAGGCGCATGTTTTGATGCTGCATTGGGAATCATTCCAGGGCTTAAGGTAAGCCAACATCTCCATAAACTAATTCAATGGCTCTTTAGGAGTCAATATGGTTGCTGATAGATCAGAAACAAGTTTTGAAAATGATGGAATTTATCAGATTTCATCATTTAGTCAGGCATAATAAAAAAATCAACCGGAGCATTAAACTCCACAGATCTCATTTTAAATTGCATTTCCATCTACAAGCATCCAATGTGCTCAAATAAAGTACTTTTGTTAATTCATTAGGTGAAGGGTACAGACTATGAAACTGCAGATGGAACTTGTATCAGGGACTATATTGATGTTACCGATCTGATTGATGCTCATGTCAAGGCCCTCAACAAGGCTCAACCCAACAAAGTTGGCATATACAATGTTGGCACCGGAAAAGGTCATCTTTTATAAATACTTATGATTTTATATTGAATTTTTTTTGTCTTGAATTTGTGTTCCCTTAACATAACATTGCAAGAGTTAAACCCTTTAAGTAGAATATGGTTGAACTCTTGAATATTGAGGCATTTTGGTGTAACTGTTGAAATTACATTAAAAACTCCAAAGATGGATGTACTTATACGGGAGCAAGCTTGGGACATGTAATCTCTTTGAAAGTTACACCAATGGGACAAAACCATGAGGCCTAGTATCCATTGTATTTTAGTTCATGAGTTAAGTGAAACTCAAAACACATATAGCCTCCAAACTATTTGTTAATTCATAATAGCGTCCAAACTATTTTGAGTTTAGGAGTTAAGTGAAACTCAAAACCTATATAAAGAGTGCTCATGTTAGTTCTAATCAAAATAAATTTATATAGGTTTTATTTTAAGTTTTTAGTTCAATAGTTTGGAGGCAATTATTAGTTTAAGATGGAGTCTTATGTTAGTTTTATTCAATATGTTATTCAACATAGAAAATCATTACCTGAAGAAGTTAGTGATTATTTTCTTACACGGTTTTGTGATAAAAGAATATCAAGCTACTTTTTATATAGTTGTATGTGTTGATATGTTTCCTTTTTGATCTAGTGAATTCATATACTGTTATGCTGTTGAAAACTCCTATTGATTACAATCTAGTATATCTGATAATTTTGTTATTTCTTTTAAGTTTAGACATTTTTTAAACATGTTAAGTGAGTATGTGCAATAATATGTATGGGTAATCTCATTTATGTTTATTTTATTTATTTTAAATAAAAATCAGTGTAAAGAATTGATGTTATTTATATGAAATTGTATATATATATTCACAATTAATTATATCTATTGGTGTAATTAATTGAATTGAAAAAGTTTATTTGTAAATATTCATTTAATATTACATTTTCTTTATATATATCATGTTTTTTTCCCTTAGATGCCCTAAACCGAATACCGAAAAATATGGAGGGAGGTGGACAGGATCTTAGCTTCTCGGTTTGGAATAAATTAGAAGTTTTGAGTTTTTTATATAGAGCTTTTTCGACATCGATCCCAACTCGTTGCAATGAAACTCCTTACATAATCATGACATGCACTCCCTACACACATTGCGGAGTAACGAGGTATCTTGCAGAATAATACTCTGAAGGCAGTTTAACAACCCACCTTGAAAACGATGCAACGACGTGTCCTGCATATGATGCAATGAGTCAACTCGAAGACGATTCAACAACGTACCGTGAAGACGGTGCAACAACGTACCGTGAAGACGGTGTAAAACATTTCCCAGATACAATGTAACTTTCTGTGATAACTATTTGCAACTATTGTACCCAAAATATGGTGACCTTCTCTGGACTTCTAAAATTTTCTCCTAGCGTCCCAACACTACAGCCTAAGTGACCAAAGACAACCTACATGATTTACAACTCATACAGCTCTCCCAACTCCGTCCTCTGGGGCCTACGTACATTATCTTAGCTCATGCAGCTACCAACTTCGGCACCTGCGTCCTACGTATATTTTTCACATCTCATGCAACTCCCAACTCCAGTCTCTGCGGCCTATAGACGTTATCTCAGCTCAAGGAGCTCTCAACTCCGGCCTCTGTGGCCTACGAATGTTATCTCAAGTCATGCAACTCTTAACTCTATTCTCTACAATCTATGGATTTTATCTTAGCTCGTGCCGCTTCCAACTCCGGCATCTGAACTCTGTGGTTTTCGAACATTATCTCAGCTTATGTAGCTCCCAATTTCGGCCTCTGTCACCTACGGATATTATCTCAGCTTATTTAGCTCAAAACTCCAACCTCTGTAGCCTATAGACATTTTTATAACTCTTATAACTCCCTACTGCAACCTCTGTGGCCAACTGATGCTCTTGAAGCAACTGTCTACCCCCAAAAGTCCAACCACTATCATAACTTTCAACCACGTCCTCTACAAGTTGACACTACAGTCACATTTATAACATTCACAGCAGAGTACTACCTTTATAGCAATAGACTATAGCTTTCGCTGCCTGTTACGGCTATTTTTGTTGAAATGTCATTGTACATTAACTCAATAATTTCATCTTTTCTAACTCAGTAGAAGAGTGGACCTATGTATTTACACTCACATAATAAATTATTTTTACTAAGCTAGATCCCGTGATTTTTTACTCTTTTCAGGGATTTCTATGAAATAAATTGAGGCCTCCTCCTACAAACTTCTCTTTTATTTGACTATGTGTTAGATTTTCGTGTAATATTAAGACGCTATGCCATGGGGGTTTTCCTCCAAAAGTTGAACAGGTTTGATCCGAACCAATTCAGTTGACCGCCCCCTCCACCCCCTCCATCTTAATCAGGCAGAAATTTCTCCCCGCTTCTGTTTTCATTGACCACCCACCGCTATTTATGTGTTTTTTATGCCTTTGGGTTTCAACTTATGTTATTATCTGATTTTAGGTTGTGAGGACAACCGTGGCATCCTGGTTTTGCCTTCAAGGGTTGTGTCCAACTGCTACCGTAGTGCTCCGGCCTTATCCCTCTATTTCGGTGGTGTTTATTCTCGACACCCCCTGCACCCCTCCCCCCGCTGCCACCACCCTTCCTCCCACTGCAACTGCTGGACAGCACCCCCTGGGCTGTTTCCTTTACCGCCGTTCCTGCTGCCATCACCCAGCCGCTATTTTTCCTGCAGCCCGCCAACCCCACTCCATCCTCCCAGCAATACTGCAACTCCAACCCTTCCAGCAATACCTTCCACCCCACTGCTCCTTCCCGTGCACCCCTAATGCCTTGAAGCTTGCTGCCGTGAACCTCAAAACCTACTGTCCTCCCACGTCCAGCAACCTCGTCAAGCCTCCCCTTCAATCCGTAACTCCACGTCCAGCCCCTACCCAACCATAACTCCCCTGCCTGGGCCCTCCTGCCTTACCGTATTCCCTGCTGCCCGCTTCCCTCCAAAAGCCTGCTGCAACGCCATCCTCACCCTGCGGTAGCTGCTGCCATTCCCTACCAGAATCCCCAACTGCTGCCATAACCTCATTCCTATCTTCCTGTACCGCCGCCAAACCTTTCCACCCTCTTCTTTTGTGGCCAATGCCTCCAACGAACCCGTTCTACCACTGTCCAGCCACCACTCATCACCGTCCTCCTTCCCCTGGAACAGGATTTGTGTTTGTTTATCGTTTATTTCATGTTTTGAAGAGTCGTCCTAACAGATTTCAACTTCAATAATAATATTTGTGTTTCTTTTGTGATTTGAGTTTTCTCCTCCCGTACTACGCTGAATAATCACTCTACTGCCACGGACCTTTCACTATGCACCACCTTTCATCAAACTTTTATATATCAAATTTTGTAAACAGACATGTTTACTAAAGCTTGAAAAATATTGATGCCAAATTATTGGGAAAACAAAGAGGTAAAAATAGCATACAGATATAAATTTAATTAGACTTCGTTAACTATTATTCTTTCTGATTTGCATTCTTGAATATATTAAAAGTTTGTGTAGATGAATTATATTTTAAAGTTTTGAACAGGGAAATATCTTGCTTTTTTGATATCTATATACTATTTTTATTGATTGTTTTTCCAACACAAAATAATCAAGAGCCACTAAATGTTATCTAATACCAAAATCTCTCTGATACCAAATGTTTTAGAAATATTAATGTTTAGTGGCTCTAGATTACTTGAATGCCATTTTGGATTATTGTAAATCTTAGACTAATATAATGCAATCATCTGACTGTCTGTTTATCAATCAGGAATAAATGAAATCAGGCAGAATAAAAGATTTCTTTCTTCGCAATGCTGCAAAGAAGGAAATATTATATTTGTTCGGATTCTTCCATTTGCACATGATTCTTTCCTTTTAGCTGAATATTTTGATTAGAAATATGTATTAATTAAACACCAAAATTAGATTGAGCACTTTATTATGTACCTAAACTAGATTGTACAGACTATTATTTGTTAGTATTATTTATTGGAATGAAAAAACAAAGGAAAAGACACTCAGCCTATTTGCTCAAAATATTGACATGGTATCAGAGCTTTTAATCAGTCTGAATCCTTGAAATTTTAGCTTTTTGTTATCTTTGGCCGACATCTTCGACTGCTTCCTCACCGGAGCGCTCGTTCTTGTCTTTCAGTTCTACGACATCTTCGTCCGCTTTGTTTGAGTTCTATTGTTGCTTCAAGTCGATCGACTCCCTTCGATCAATCGGACCTCTGGTGCTGCGTCTCCTTAGTTCTGCTGTTGTGTTCTGTGGCATCTTCTTGAGCGGACCTCTGGTGCGACATCTTCCTGAGTTCTGCCGCTACGATCCTTCCCCATCGTTGAGTGGACCTCCGCTGAGTTCTGCCACTACGATCGCGGCATTTTCGTTCGCCCCAATTACGACAATTTCATGACGCTGAGTTCTGCCGCTACGATCCGCTCGTTCGAGTTTTGCCGTCGCAATCCACTCTGTAAGATTGTCACGATCGTGACTGCCTCAAGCTTCGCCTCGCTCTTCGATCGTCAACCCTAACCTTTCACGTTGATTTAGATCAACAATTTGAATTTTATTTATCTTGTTTTTCTTGATTTTTATTTGATTTCGATCGACGATTAATCTATTTAGAATGCTTCTGAAATCTTAGATATCAGATTTACGAGAAATAATTATGTCGCATGAGAATTTCAGTTCAGAATATTCTTAAAAGGAAAGGAGCTTTGGGGTCATATTGATGGGTCTTCCCCAGCTCCTACTGAGACAAAAGATCTTGGTCAATGGGAGCAAAGGATGCTCAGATTGTTTCCTGGATTTTGGGATCTATTGAGGCTCATATGGTGAACAATTTACGATCTTTTGGCACGAATAAAGAAATGTGGGAATATTTGAAGCACGTTTATAATCAAGATAATTCTGCGAAACACTTCTAATTAAAACTTGACATGAGTAATTATAGTCAAGGTAATTTTTCAATTGAACAATATTATTCCGACTTTCTAAATTTATGGAGCGAATATACTGGTATTATCTATGCCAAAGTGTCAAAAGAGAACTTAGCTAGTCTTCAAGTTATTCATGAAGAAAGTCATCGTGATCAGTTTTTAATGAAACTGAGACCTAAATTTGAAACTGCTTGAGCTGGGTTGCTGAACAGAGATACAGTTCCATGTTTGAATGTTTGTTTTGGGCAATTACTGCACGAAGAGCAAAGATTGACGATACAAGCTACTATCAATACAACAGGTGGATCATCAAAAGTAATTAACATGGCATATGCTGCTAAAACCAAAGGGAAGGGGCCAGTACAGTGCTACAGCTGCAAGAAATTTTGTTATATTGCACGGAATTGTGAAAATAAGGCATGTACTTATTGCAAGCAAAAGGAACACGACCCCAAAATCGCAAACCACGAGCACTTCATGCGATGATATCTGATACTCACAATCCTGCCTCGACTTCCACAGTTGCTAACAATAATCAATAAACTGTCACAACCTATATGGTTCAATGATTCTCTCTGTCTTTTTTGCTCTCGACCTTCAAAGGAAAGGTAAAACTATTTCTTCAGTTACTTCTCCTTGGTTTGTTGATTCAGGCGCCACAAATCATATGACTAGCACAGCTGAGTTATTGCATAACCAACGACCGTACACTAGTACTCAACATATTCAGGTTGCTAATGGAAATAATATTCCAATTACGACAATTTGTGATATTAACTCATCCTTTAAACATGTCTTGGTTTCTCCTAAATTATCTACTAACTTACTCTCTGTTGGTCAAATTGTGGATAATATCTATGAAATAAATGTTTCTCGTGATGGTTGTATTGTGCAGGATCAGGTGTCGGGGAAGGTGATAGCGAGGGGGCCTAAAGTGGGCAGACTGTTTCCATTACAATTTACTACTCCTCAGAATATTTCATTAGCATCTTCAGTTATTGAAAATAAGGATGGCATCTGGCATAAAAGACTAGGTCATCCAAATGATATATGGTGTTAAAACATTTAAGTAAAAGTGGTGTTTTTTATCCTACAGATAAGAGTTTAGTAGTTGACTGTTTTGTTTGTAAACTTGGAAAAAGTAAGACATTAATTTTTCCTATTTCAGACAGTCGTGCCAATAAATGTTTTGACATTATTCATAGTGATGTTTGGGGAATTACGTCAGTTATTTCACATGTTCAATATAGATATTTTGTTACATTTATTTATGATTACAGTCAATTTACTTGGGTCTATTTTTTGCGTTCCAAAACAAAAGTATTTACTGTATTCCAAACATTTTTAGCATGTGTTGAAACTCAGTTATCCGTTCGCATTAAAATCTTACGGTCTGACAATGACGATGAATACATGTCTCATGAGTTTCAAGCATTTCTCCATAACAAAGGGATCATTTCACAACGTTCATGTCCCTATACACCGCAACAAAATGGAGTTGCTGAACGGAAAAATCGACATCTATTGGATACCGTGCGCACATTACTGATAGAATCTTCTGTTCCAGATAAATTTTGGACTGAAGTTTTATCTACTGCAGTTTATCTCATTAATCGCTTACAATCTCAACAATTGAAGTATGAGTCTCCATACTATCGAATTTTTTATAAACACCCTAATTATCATATGCTACATACTTTTGGATGTGTTTCTTTGTTCATCTACCTGCTCATGAACGTCATAAGTTGGCAGCTCAGTCAGTACGTGTGCCTTTATGGGGTACAGTCCTAATCATAAAAGTTGTGTTATGATTCGATTAATAGTCGATGACATATTTCTCGAAATGTGATTTTCTTTGAACATGAATATTACTTTCAGCATTATGTGTCCACACCAGATATAGTTATACTTTCACAAATTGATAATTCTTATGCTGAGAAACAGTTCAAGCCAGACATTGTCTACACACGACGCCTGCCCACTTCACCTTCAATCCTCCCCGATCCTGATCCAGAAATTACTTCAATAAGTATTCGATGATCAACCCGGCGTATCCGTTCTCCAGATAGATGTGGGTATTCTGCAATTTTAACTAATACTATTGTTCCTACCTCTAACTTTCAGGCTGCTAAACAGACTTGTTGGGTCAAAGCCATGAAAGAGGAACTTCAAGCACTTTAAGACAATCACACTTGGGATATTGTTTCATGTCCTACAGGTGTTAAACTCATTGGTTGTAAATGGGTTTATTCTCTTAAACTCTGATCTGATGGCTCTATTGATGGATACAAGGCAAGATTGGTAGCTCTTGGCAATCGACAAGAATACGGGATTGATTATGACGAAACATTTGCACTTGTGGCTAAGATGACAACTGTTCGACTGGTGTTATATATTGCTGCATCTAAAGGCTGGTTCTTAAAGCATATATGTTAAGAATGCATTCTTACATGGGGATCTCAAAGAAGATGTCTATATGAATCCTCCCGGCTTATTTTCTACACCTTCACATGATGTTTTTAAGCTCAAAAGGTCCCTATGCGGTTTGAAACAGGCTCCACGGGTTTGGTTTGAAAAGTTTCGCAATACTCTTCTTAGTTTCTCTTTTATTCAAAGTCAATATGATTCATCATTATTTCTTTGCAAGATTGGCAAGGGAATTGTTTTGTTATTAGTCTATGTTGATGATATTGTCATCACAGGATCTGACAATCAATTGATGTCTCAACTACAGAAACGTCTTTAGAGTTCTTTTCATATGAAAGATTTAGTGTCATTAACTTATTTCTTAGGACTCGAGGTTCACTGTTCCGCCACTGGTATTTTTCTTCATCAGCACAACTATACTAAGGGACTCATTGCTTTGACTAGTCTTCAAGATGGTCGCTCCACTGATACTCCTTTGGAAGTAAATGTCAAATATCAATAGAATGATTGTGACTTTCTATCTGAATCATCTCTATATAGACAACTGATTGACAGTCTCAATTATCTGACTATTACGCGTCCTGATATTTTATTTGTTGTGCAACAAGTTAGTTAATTTATGCAAGCCCCTACACATCTTCATTTAGCTGCAGTTCGACATATTATTCGATATTTGAAAGGTACTTATCATGATTTGTTCTTTTCTGCGGAGTCTCCTATCACCTTAACAACCTATAGTGATGTTGATTGGGCTGGTTGTTCTGATACACGCCGATCTATTACTGGATGGTGCATGTTTCTCGGCAACTCTTTAATCCCTTGGAAGAGCAAGAAACAAGATCGAGTGTCTAAGTCATCTACTAAATCAGAATATTGTGCTATGTCCTCTGCTTGTTCTGAGATCATTTAGCTTCAGGGCGTGCTTGCTGAGCTTGGTTTTTCTCAGCTTGAGTCTACTTCTCTTCATGCAGATAATACTAGTGCTATCCAGATTGTTGTTAATCCCGTTTTTCATGAGCACACGAAACACATTGAAGTGGACCGTCATTCCATTCGAGAAGCCTATGAGGAGAGTATTATATCTCTTCCTCGTATCACTTTTGGTCTTCAAACGATAACGTCATCAGTTTCTTGTCAGCAAATTGGTGATTCTTAATCAGCCAACATCAATTTGAGGGGGATATTAATCAGGAATAAATGAAATCAGACAGAATAAAGAGTTTCCTTCTTCGCAATACTGCAAAGAAGAAAATATTATATTTGCTCAAATTCTTCCCTTTTAGCTGAATATTTAGATTATGAATATGTATTAATTAAGCTACTTAATTTAGATTATACTGAATATTATGTACCTAAAATAGATTATAGATTATACTGAATATTATGTACCTAAAATAGATTGTACAAACTATTATTTATTGGAATGAAAGCAAAGAAAAAAGCATTCAAGCCTATTTGCTCAAAATATTGACACCGTTCTCAGCTTATAATTTTAAACTTGTGGATGACAGAGAGTTCGAGTTGTTACAACAAATGAAAAAAATGATGATATGAATGATTATATTTCAATTTTTCAGGAAGAACAGTGAAGGAGTTTGTGGAAGCTTGCAAGAAAGCAACTGGTGTTGAAATCCAAGTGGAATACTTGAGCCGGCGGCCCGGGGACTATGCCGAAGTTTACAGCGATCCATCCAAGATTCAGAGGGAGCTGAACTGGACTGCTCACAACACTGATCTATTTAAGAGCCTTCAGATCGCCTGGAACTGGCAGAAGAATCATAGAAATGGTTATGGCTCTCCTCTTGCCATGGCTTTTTGACTATTCTATGTGTGATTAGTCAGGTTATGTACACGCAAGGATGTGTTTTTCAGAACTAAGAGCTCTTCTATCTCTATTTTTTTATTATTGGGAAATTTACATATTTAGGGCACCATCTTTATGTATTTACATATCTCACGGCTAAACTTCCATATTTACATCACCTTTGCATGTAGACATGAAAGTTTAGGTGAGATATATAAATACATAAGCATTGTGTGCTATGTATGTAAATGCCCCCTTTTTTTTTCTTTTTTTTTTTAATAAAATGTTGAAGATTTTAATTAATGGTTTTGTAATTTAATAATTTATGGATATCTTAAGGTTCTTTGACTGCGGAAAATATTTTTTTTTAATATGATTTGAATATCGATTGAACAATGTTAATTATGAGTACAATATGATTTGAGTATGATTTGAACCTATATTGACATAAGTTTTGAGCATGCTTTATGTATGTTTTCAATATTGTTCTAACAAAGTTAAAAAAAAATGTTTCAATAATGTATGAACAAATTTTGATTAACTTCTAAACAAAGTTCATTGATTTATAGCGATTATAAGCACTGCTTTTAATTAAGTAAATTGCTGCAATTATTTATCTTGGCTAAAACTGCTGTATAAAAAGAAAAAAAATTAGATAATGTAAACATGAAATGTTCAGGTATGAAAATGCAAAATCTCCCGTTCAAATATTAGGAACGTTAAGGTTTGCGGGAGGGGGCAAACTCTCACTTCTCTTGAACATCAACGAAAAAAAATCGAAACGCTTACATTTTAATGGCATCCGCCATGATCAAACCTGCCGGTGAGATCCAAAATCTCATCTTTTCCCAAAACCTAAAGCTCACTCACCTCGCCCGTTGTGGCCGCATCGACGAAGCCGTCAAACTTTTCGAATCCATGCCCTCCCGCAATGCCGTTTCCTGGAACTGCATGATCTCTGCTTTCGCCAAAAATGGTCGAGTTGCAGACGCACGCCATCTATTCGATCGCATGGCCTCCAAAAACCTAATATCATGGAACACCATGATCGCCGGCTACTCCCACAACAACCGCTTACTCGAAGCATCGCAGCTGTTTGACGAAATGCCCAGAAGGGATAGCTACTCTTGGACCCTGATGATATCTTGCTTCTCCCGCCATGGGGAGCTGGAGAGGGCAAGGCGGCTCTTTGATTCCATGCCTGGAGTAAAAACTCCAGTTTGCTACAATGCAATGATCGCGGGATATGCGAAGAATAGAAGGTTTGAAGAAGCCATTGTTTTACTGAATGAGATGCCTGTGTCAGCTCGGAACATGGTTTCATGGAACTCGGTGCTCGCGGGGTATACGCAAAACCAGGAGATGGTGAAAGTTCTGAACTTTTTCGAAGAGATGCCAGAGAAAGATGTGGTCTCTTGGAACCTTATGGTTGAGGGGTTTCTTCAGGTTGGAGATCTTGAATCAGCTCTGACATTATTTAGAAGAACTCCATGCCCAAATGTTGCTTCTTGGGTGACAATGTTAAATGGATTTTCAAAAAGTGGGAAAATTGAAGAAGCGCGGAGATTGTTTCATCAGATGCCAGAAAGGAATTTGGTTGCATGGAATGCAATGATCTCTGGTCATGTTCAGTTTTTGCAAATAGAAGAGGCTCGCAGGCTTTTCGACGAAATGCCTGAGAGGAACTCTGTGACTTGGACCACAATGATTAATGGCTATATTCGCATCAGGAAGCTCGACAAGGCGAGGGAGTTGCTCAACGCGATGCCTTTCAAGAACGTCGCTGCACAAACCGCAATGCTAAGCGGGTATCTTCAGTGCATGAGAATGGAAGAAGCTGTTGAACTGTTTGAGAAAATTAGTACAAGAGATGATTTCTGCTGGAACGCAATGATCTCAGGATATGCGCAGTGTGGAAGAATGGATGAAGCGGTGGATTTATATAAGAAGATGCCAACAAAAAATGTGTTTTCATTGAATACTATAATTGCCGGGCATGGTCAACAAGGAGAAATGCATAAAGCCATGGAGGTTTTCAAGCAGATGAGAGAGAGGGACACAGTAACTTGGAATTCCATTATCTCCGGCCTCACACAAAATGGATTTTACTTTGAGACACTCAAGCACTTTGCTTTGATGAGAAATGAGGCAAGAAAACAAGATTGGTGTACATATGCCTGTGGTCTTACTGCTTGCGCTTATCTTGCTGCTTTGCAGATGGGGAAGCAGCTTCATCTTCTTCTCTTGAGAAGTGGTCATTTTAATGACTTATTTGCTGCCAATTCTTTGATAAATATGTATGCAAGATGTGGAAGGATATCAGCTTCTAAGCAGGTATTTGATGAATTGGTATCGGTAGATCTCATTTCATGGAACACACTGATTCATGGCTATGCATTGAATGGATTTGGGAGGGAGACAATATTGGTTTTCAAAGAAATGGAAGCTAATGGCTTTAGACCTGATGAGATCACTTTTGTTGGAGTTCTGTCAGCTTGCAGCCATGCAGGGCTGATAGATGAAGGATTAAAGTATTTCGATTCCATGAGGAAAGATCATTCTGTGGAACCTGTAGCTGAACACTATGCTTGTGTGGTGGACTTGCTAGGCCGGGCTGGGAGATTAGAAGAAGCACACAAACTAGTTACCCAAATGGCTGTGAAACCAAATGCTGGTGTTTGGGGTGCGTTGCTTGGAGCATGCAGGATGCATGGAAATCCAGATATGGCGAGCTTCGCTGCGGAGAAACTGTTTGAAATTGAACCTCGTAAGACTTCTAATTATGTTTTGTTGTCAAACATACATGCTGATGGTGGGAGATGGGAAGATGTGGATAGAGTGAGGGCTTTGATGAAAGAAATGGGAGTACAGAAGCAGCCTGGTTGCAGCTGGATTGATATAAAGAACGAAGTTTGTTGCTTTGTTTCTGATGATTCTATGAAGTTCAGAACAGCAGAAGTTGGCTTTGTGCTTGAGATGCTGTGTGGCCATACGAGAAATACAGAAATCATTTATTGGTCATCATTTTTAGATTGTGGATGACTAGTTTGGAGAGCTATTTTGCTGAAATCTCAGGCTTCTCTCATTAAGGAAAGAATACTCTGCTAGAGTTCAAAGCAAGCTTGTTCAGCTCCGCAAAGCAGTCACTTTATTAGTTTCAGAATTTGCAGCACTTCGCTTCAGCTGGTAAGTGAAGTTTTTGCGAATTTTTAACTTTAGGAGTTATGAAAGCACTTTATGTTATGTGAAACAATGTGAAAATATAGAAATTCACACAACAATCAAGCACAAGATTTACATGGTTCGGCGTTGAGTTGATTCGCCTATGTCCAATAGGAGGGAGATTTCACTAGCATTGAATTTGGAGAAACAAAAACGGCTTGGGGTTACAATCACAACACTTCTCCATACCATCTCACATGAGCCCTTATCTGCCTTTTATAGAGAAGGATTAGGACATACAAGTAAATAAAGTTAATATCCAGTTCATCATGCTCGTACCAAGCACATTGATGTAAAATATCACTTTGTTTGAGACTTGATTAAAGAAAATAATGTTCTGTTGACGAAGATAGATATAGAAAAGAATCCAACAAACATGCTCACGAAGATACTACCAACAAGAAGTTCACCTATTGCAGGAGTTTGGTGAACATCCGAGCTCAAGACTGATTATCCAGCTAGACATTTTGAAGAAGGAGAGCCGAAGGGATGATTTAGATTTTTGTGACATGGTTACCTCTCGATACTTGACAAGGGGCCTTTGGGGCATCCGTGAGATGATTGATGTTACTGAGGAGCTGAGTATTTTCCCAGGTCTAGTCTACTGGAAGGTTGATTGTCGGCTTAGAAGAGGTTTTCCTATGGTGGTTGTCTTGAGTGCATGTTTGTCTTATCTTGGGGCAATGGTTTTGGGTTCAGACTATCAAGATACCTTTAGTCTTGTGGACTCTAGCTTGGATAGTTGCATCCCATTAGCTTTGGCTTTGGTTCAGATTGCTACATCTCAATCCTTGATAAAGAGCCCCAAAGGCTCCTTATCAGGGATCGACAATCAATGATGAGACTAGATTAGCCAATCGGTAAAGCCCAGTCAATCGAGCCAATTCTGCCAAACCGAAGTAAATTGAAGGCCAGCAAGCTACCTCAACCCAATATAGTCGAACGAAAAGATACCATCGAATCCAGGCCTACTGAGCTTAACCGACTGAGCCAGAAGGCAGCTAAGCCATAGACTCCCACACGTAATATACCTAAAATATCATGCAACACCCCTATTAAAGTAAGGGTAGACATGTAACTTCACATATTATACTCATTTCCTATAAATAGAGGATAATTTTATCAAAATAAAAAGGAAGTAATATTGTTCATTACTATGCATTTCTCTCTCGCTCTCTCTCATGTCTTACACTCTAACCCTTCAGGTCTGATTCGCGGATTGGGCAAAAGGACTAGAACCTCAGTGTCAGGCGATGCCTTTAATAAGAGATTAATAGATGTCTTTATCGATCAGGATAACCTCCTTGAATCACGTCCCTTGTGCATATGGTATATGTTATCTTTCTCGAGGAAGGTGAGGTTGATTAGATCAGTCATTTAAGTATGTGAGCTTAATTCAATCACATCAGCTGGTGGGCTCGATTAAGCCACTTTGATGGATTAGCTCAATTCAGTCACTTCAGTAGATTAACTCATTTCAACTACTTCAACAAATAAGCTCAATACAGGCACTTTTCTAAGTGGATTTGATTCACCAAGAAATTTTTTTAGCGAAAATTCTCGTACTGGACTAAAGCGAGCCACATCTAAACTGCATCAAAACAATATTTTTCTAGGGCAAAAAACAAAGTATAGGTGTTTGTATGTAAATACATCAAACCAGGGGGCTGTTTAGGAAGTCATGACGGAATGGCGGGATACGGAGATTCAAAACCCTCGTCTTTCTCTGTCCGCTGGCTCACCGAAGCCCTAGCCTACCTTCACGATGCAGTCGCAATTAGAACCAGCGGGAAGGTAACGATAGAGTCGCGGCATACAAAGCCATCCAAACTCCCATCTTTCTCCTCCTTCAGCCTCTTTATGTCTTCCTCTCACCGGATCTCCAACTGACAGGCAACGGCAGGATCGCCAGCATACAGAGACCCCCACAACTTCCAACTTCCCAGTTCGCGCTCGTTCTCACTCCGATACAGTCGCGATTAGGTCCAGCGGGGAACGGAGTTGGTGTGCGCGATCGGGACAGTCACATGACAAGCGGAGCATATTGAAGCGCTAGTCGTCGGCAGGATGTGGCAGGCACGATTGGCACAGAAGGGTTGTATGCCAGGTGCGCCGAGTGAACGAGAAGGGGTTCGTCGTCATTGTTATGATGGATGCGGAGGGGATCAAGATCCATATGGGGACATCTCAGCGAGTTCGCTTCCGTCAAGGCAGAGGATGGTGAGGTTTGGACTTCTACTGTCACATCTTTAAAAGCATCTCTTCCAGAAAAATCTACTAATGTGAATTGTGATGGTTTTGTTGAAGATGTTATTAGAGTTGGCTGTGAACATTTCTAGGATGGTGGAATGGTCAGATTTTAGGTGATGGAAAAAATTGGTGCAAATACACCGATCCAAGATTGCTATTGCTAAGGACCAACCTTATTTTTGGCGAGATGATAGTCTAGTGTTAGAGCGCAACACCATGCTCCCTATCATTTTCTCAAAGGTAAATGAAAGATTATGCCTGTCTTATAGACCTGTGGATTAAAAGATTTCTTTTGGCCGCAATGTTATGAGATATTGTCTTATAGCTAGCTGGGTAGGCAGGCACCCCAATATTGCCCCTTTAAACGGGGATGATGTTGGGAGGCTGACAAAAATTCGAGTAAATTTGAATTAACAAAATAATTTAAAATTTGGGCTTTATAAACTTATAAAATGACATAAAATTGAATTATTTGAAATTTTAAACTTGCAAACAATAATAATAATAATAATAATAATAATAATAATAATAATAATAATAATAATAATAATTGAAATTAGAATGTCCAGATTTACAAAAAATTTTGAAACTGAATTCTTTAAAATTTCAAATGATTTAACTATGAATGAATTGAGAGGGCTAAACTTAAATTGAATACCAAATTTTATAAATTAGGGCCTGAACTTGACTTAAATATGAAATATCATAATGTGGGGGTTGTGTTTTGCTTAAAAGTGAACCATCAGAAATTAGGGTTAAGTTTAAAACATAAATATTATTTTTAAATGCTTAAATAAAGAATTAGTATTTTAATGCTGTCACTGAATTCACAATACATATATTAGCAAAGGCAATCCTTTTTTAAAACCTAAAATCATGATACTCTTGCAAATAGTTCAAACACCAAAAGATTTCAAATATATATAAAGTTCATGGTTATCTCCCAAGTCAAATGAGATATTTTGAATGTGAGTCCACTCTTAAGATTTATATAAGTATTACTTGAGATACTCATGAGCTATGTATGATTTAAGATGTCTATATAAATAAGTCACATTTTCAAAATTTTGCATTGGCATCCGAATGTAAAGTCCATATTAAATTCATGGCTTAAAACTTATGCAAGTCTTTAAAGCTTATAAAACTCTTTTAAGATATTCAAATATACGAAATTGAAATCTTGCACGTGATCCAACCAATATATTAAATGCTCAAGTATTATGTTCGAGAATATTGTGCGAGCTAATCGGGTCACCTTGTCTATAGGATAGGGTTGTAAGTCTCACACAATCAGTATGATCTTCCCCATCACAAAGACTGAAGTTGACAAGTGTAATAATTTCGAAATAAACATCAAAATCTTAAAATAAGAATTTAAAAGTTCAAATCACTTGGTCTGATATTCCTTGCAAGTACAGAAGTCGACAAGAATCGTATCCTAAAAGTCTAAACTAACAAAACTAAATGCCTCATTCAAATATTAAAGTTTAAAATGCTTAATTCCCCAATGATGGTCGCGTTGATAGAAGATTTCAACAAGAAAGTCCTATTTTAAAATTATGTTTCAAAGCCTATTTTAAATTCATTTATTTCAATAATGAACCTGATACTCTATCAGCAGGACATAGTCGATAATTCAAAGATAAATAATTCCATATTTATGCACATGTTGACTGAAAATCTTAACTGGGGTGATCAATTTTTAAACTCAACTTTTGAATGAAGCTATCAAAATAATAAATCAAGACATTGAAATTAAAATCGCCTAAAGACTAAAGCAAATAAATTAAAATGTCCTAGTTAAAATCAATTACAAAAGACTTAAAAAACAAAATTCATCTATCATCCACAACAGTTTGTCGAGGGTGACAAAATTTTGAATTTTTAGCTCACAAAGAGTGAATGTCATATGAAATATATTCATATATTCACAATAAAAAAAAATTACATGTCAGTAATGATGTGACCTGAATACTCAATCCACGTGGTTCTGCAGTCAAATGACAACATAAAGTAATGGTTACTACCAGAGCCATCTGACCGAACAGTTGCGTCAAATGAGAATATTATATTACAGTCACGATCACAGCCCGTTCGTTCCTCATTAACTTTTTATCATTTGAATTGTGAATCATAATGATACGATTGATTGACACAATGTCTTTTGTTCGCTAAAGTCGACTTAAACTTGTTCCCTTAAACAAACATCCATTTCATATCTACAAGGTTCTCTTAGACGAAGCAACATATGATTATTGCCAAGAATGCATCAATCAAGTTGGGTAAGTAGATCAAAAACTATTATAACCTGGGACGACATAACTACGGGAACTTGATCGAGTTTCATCTTCATTGAAAGACTAGTCTTCATTGAAAGCGCACTCGTTATCGAGAGATAATTAATCATAGGGGTTTGCATCTATGGGAAACCTCAAACACCATCATCATTTGCCTATGTATTTACCTATCTGATACCTAAACTTTTTTTTTATATTTTTTACATACATGTCACATTATATATTACATGAAAATTAGTATTTCTCTTTTTAAATATTAAAGTAGTGATATTTTTTATGTAATATAAAAGATTTGAGTGGTATAAATGTAAACATCAAAGTTTAGGTGATAGATAAATAAATAAGAATTGGGCAGTATGTATGTAACTGACCCTTTATAATTCTTACCATGGGCAATTACATACATACAGCCCAATTTTACATAATCCAACACCTAAACTCTAGTTTTCACATTTATACCACCCAAATCCATCATATCACATAAAAATACCACAATTTTAACTTCCAAATAAATACATCTGTTCATGCATTGGTTGAAGTTTGGGTGTCAGATATGTAAATTCATAGGAATCGAATGGTCTGTATGTAAATCTTCCTATTTATTAATAGGATGGGGAATCCCAAGTTCACAATGTTATTTTAAATACGCATACAGTTTTTGTTTTGAAGACCCACCGCCAGATCAACTGCTTCAATTTAAAAGGATTGTAGGAATCAATACCGCTTGATTCACTCCAACAGGAACTCTATTGACACAAACAAAATTGTCAATTTCCGCAAAAAAAATCATACAACAACAAGACTAACATGAGCTTATTTTCCATAAGCTCTCTCAAGAGGATTAAAAGAGTATCAGAAAGTGTTACACCACACAGCAGATCAACAATATTGATGGTTAAAAAAGAAGGCTTACAAAGAGGAATTCCTTCATTTTTCACCTTAGACAGCATGGGTTGAGTTGCACTTAGATTGTTTCGAGAGCCTGGAAGATATCGGCTTTCAGGTCCTCAAACGCCTCTATTCCAAAACTAAACCTAACAAGATTGTCCGCGATCCCATATTTCACTCTATCCTCTTTGCTATCCCTGAACAAAAATGAAAATAAAATCAGCTGGACAACAAAAAAATCCCGAGGACTAAATTGATATTTTTATAGATTATGGGACTAAAATGGGTGGCACTTTACACAATTGGAAATATATTTTGAGGCCTTTTGCAGTGAAACCATACCAGTAAGACATGATAGCAGGCTGATCAACAATACTCTCAACACCACCGAAGGATGGGGCGATGTAAGGTATCTTTAAAGAATCAATGAACTGTTTAGTAGCGTTGAAGTCACCCATAACCTGCACAAACCGAAACAGCCTTTCAGGCATTTGCTCCAAAGGAGTTGAAAGTTAAAGATAATAAGGGGCATTTACATACAAACCACCCAATTCGTATGTATTTACATATTTACATACCTAACACCTAAAGTTTATTTTTTACATTTCCGCCACCCAAATATTTCATATCACATAAAAAAAAATTTGGTATTTTAATTTTTAAAAAGTGATATACACTTTTTCATGCATAGATAAAGCATATAAAAATTGAAGTTTAGGTGTTAGATATGTAAATACATAAAAAGTTGAGTAATATGTATGAAAATATTCCAAATTTAGAAGGAAGGAAGATGGAACTTGCCTCAAAACTGACCACACCACCAAAGCCAGTCATTTGCCTCTTGGCGATGTGGTGCTCCGGGTGACTTGGCAGCCCTGGATAATAAACCCTCAAAATCTGCCAAAACACATCATGCGTCTTAAGAGCTATAAACAGGTTGTAGTTAACTCACTTCATAACAGAATGGTAGAAATATACTTGATGCTTCAATTAAAAATTCAAGTAATTTTTATTGGAAAACATTTAGAATATGCTTAATATACATACGTTCAGGGGAAGGGAATTATTGAACTCAGTTCCAAAGCTCTACTTGCCAAGGCTAAAACTCGTCATTACTGCTAATGTTGAAACCCGTCATTGCCACCAAGGCTTACACTCATTGCCACTAATGCCTACAGTCGTCGTCCCCAACAAGGCAAATGCCTTCATTTTTAGTTGCCTGTCTTCCCTTCTAAAAGAACAATCAAGCAAACAATTGATTGTCTCGTCATTAAAACTTGACATCTCAAAGCTCCTACATCTACCATGGAAATTATAGTTCATATTTACTTATATTATATTTCTACCATGGAAATTATAGTTCATATTTTCTTATATTATATTAATGTCTTCTGAAACTTTGAGAAAGGCATCTTTCGTTAAATATGACCCAAACTGATAGAATAATGTCAATAGGGCTAGGCCCTATGAATTTTTCCTTTTCAAGTGTTAAATGTGTAAAAAAATTTGCATTTTGAATTACTTCAACTCTTTTCTTGAAGACATTCTTCACTCCATCATCTTTCTATATATTCAAAGCAACACAACAATAAACTATTTTTCAAAGATTTCTAGCATGTACAAGGAATTTCACAACAAACTTTCAAGTGAATCTCAACTATATATATAAAACCCAAGTGAGCTCCTAGCTATGACTTCGAACGGGTTTAGGGTAGAATCCCTGCTTTTGCGGTAAGGATCGACCATCCCTGCTTTTGCAGGATTGCGATCACATGGAGTCTCGTAGCAGGAATTTCCAGTCTAGTGATTGCTGCCAGATCTTGTGGACCTTTTTTTATAATATTTAATATAGAATTAGTGTTATTTTGCTCGGAAAGTATTTATAAGTTGTCAATTTCTACTTTTGGGACTTTATTTTTGGTTTATGCATTTGGAGAACGATTCTCTTACGCTCATTTGTAGACTGGTCCCTCTTGAACCGGTCGAGATGCTTCCAACCAGCCCACCCAGACAGCAGGAGAGCCGATCATTCATGCGAGAAGGGGGGAGCGGCACTTTGGCATGGCAGAAGAAGGCAGGGAGCGGGTGGGGTTCACGAGAGCCTTGATTACATACTCAAGGAGAAAAAATTAAAAGAATTAGGAGAAAAAATTGACAAGGAAAGTTTTGGAATTATTGTGAGAGAATTCTATTAAGGGAGGTAACCTAAATTTTTTTTTATTGATGTATGTTTTTATCTATTTGCAGTCTTTTTTCTTCTTGTGGTGTTCCTAGCAATGCCTAGGATGTGGGAGAGATGATCTACGTCTCGAATAGAAGATTAACCTTGTATCTTGTTTTCCTTCGATCTTTGTAAGAGTAGCCCTTAGTGTGGCTTTTTCCACCTATCTATTGCAATGTTGTCATGCTTTGTTTGTTGATTGGTGCTTAGGCATATCAAATTGATATCAGAGCATAGATCTTATCGGGATGGCAGCAAGGAAAGTTGATGTGCTAGAAGAAGAGGTAGAGCAAATCCGATCGGAATTGGAAGAAAAATTCGCTACCATAGATGATAGATTTTCTTCTATTGGAAGTCGAATGAATGAAGAATTTGAAGGCACAGGAGAAATACAAGAAAATGATGAAAAAGCTCATGGAGATGTAATCCAAGACAATGTCGACCGCTCCAGTTGTAAACCCAAACCAAGGGTTGATCAGGAAATCCTTGGTTATGTCAAAATGGAAGAAGATCGAGCGAGAAGACAACAAAAAAGATATCATTTAACTACAAGAGCGTCCCCCTAGAATTCCGAGAGGAGGGGGAGTGGAGACTTCCGATAGAGAGGGATGGGCTGAAAACTAGAGAAGGAATGGTGGAAGGGGCACGAAAGAGTATGATAGTGGAAGGAGGGAATCAGGAGTGGGATGTCTATGATCGCAAGAGGGAGCTTCACCTTAAATACTTGGGATAATTTCCGGAGGGAGAGAAAATTGGGGTGGAGATGCAATGTTCAGGAAACAGAAAATGTCAATCTTCGAAGAGGATGATGCACATAGATGGGTCTATTGGGTGGAACGATATTTTGTAATCAATGGGTTGACTGAGAAAAAGATGCTCATGGCAATAGGGTTATGTTTGGAGGGAAAAGCTTTAGCGTGGTTCCAGTGGATGGAGGCTAGAGGCAAGGTATCCAATGCACTCATGGGAGGAGTTTAAAGATTGATTGTTAGATCGTTTCAGAGTCATTCGAGAAGGAGACCTGCACGAGCAATTATATGATCTGACTGAGGGGATAGCTACGAAATACCGGGAGAAGTTCAAGCTCTTGTCAGGGAGATTGAGGGGAATTTCTGTAGTAGAACTGGAAGGGAACTTCTTGAAAGGCCTAAAGATCGACATAAGAGCAGTTATCTGCCCCTTGAGATCGCGGGGATTGAGGAAAATAATGGAGCTTGTCAAGATGATGGAAGATAAGAAACAGGTGAAGAAGACCGACAAAGGCGGCGACACCGGAGGATTCTACAAGAGCACCATGACAACGACGAAACTGATGACCCAGGTGGTATCATTTCAGAAAGAGACGCCGAAGAAGAAAAGTACAAAGCCCACGTCAAGGAGTAATTTCAAGCGCTTCAAAGATGCAGAAGTGCAAAATAAAAAAAGTCAAAAGGATTGTGTTACCGTTGTGACGAGAAATACGACCCATGACACCGTTGCAAGGAGCGCCCTTCAGGTTCTTTTAGTTCAGGAAGAGGATACAGAGAGCGAGGAATCAAAAGAGGAAGCAGCGGAGGAGCATCTGCATTTGGATGTGGCGGACGTGTCCCTCAATTCGGTGGTGGGATTTATCCCAAATCACACTATGAAGGTGAGAGAATGGATCGGGGAACAGTAGATTGTGGTGTTAGTGGATAGTGGGGCCACACACAATTTTATCTCGAATCAGATTGTGGATAAGCTAGGGTTGAAGCTGGTGACTACAGGGAGCTTCGGCGTCATGTTGGAGACAGGAAAGGTGGAGAAAAATTGAGGAACCTGAAATACGTTGGTTTTGATGCTACATGGCCTATAAGTGGTGGAAGATTTCCTTCATTTAGATGTTAGCAACACAAATGTGATTTTGGGGATGATGTTGTTGCGAACATTGAGAGAAATGAAGGTGGAGTAGAAGTCCTTGAAGATAGAGTTTCAAGTGGAGAGTAGGAAAGTGGTGTTGAAAATAGATGTTAGCGTATGCAAAACTATGGTGTCACTCAAAACCATGGTCAAGCTGATTCGGGGAGCAGGATTGGGTTACTTGGTTAAGTTGCAAAGCATTGAGGAGGTTCGAGACTCAGAGTTGACAGATTTTTCGGAAGGGGTCCAGCAGCTCCTACAGCAGGTTACTGATTTTTTTTCCAGCAATGAGAGCACGAGCACGCTATTATATTGAAGGAGGGTGTTTCTCCCATGAGCATCAGACCATACAGATACCCCCAAATTCAGAAGAATGAGATAGAGAAGTCAATCAAAGATATGCTCAAGGTTGAGATTAACAGGCCTGGTGTAAGCCATTTTTCCAGTCTCATGCTGTTAGTGAAGAAAAAAGATGGTAGTTAGAGATTCTGCGTGGACTACCAGATTTTGAACAATGAGACGATGTTGAACAAGTTTCCTATTTCTGTGACTGACGAGTTACCGAATGAGCTTTATGAGGCAATCATGTTCTCAAAAATTCATCATAAGTCGGGTTATCGCCAGATCAAGTTACAGCAGATGTGCACAAGACAACCTTCAGGACACATGAAAGACATTATGATTTCTTAGTAATGTTATTTGGCATCACTAACATCCCAGCTACATTTCAGTCCATCATGAATAGGATTTTTCAACCTTATCTCCAGAAATTTGTCCTGATTTTCTTTGATGACATTCTGGTCTACAGTTGTATAGCGACAGAGCATGTGGGTCACCTAAGAAGAATCCTGGAGATGTTGAGGGAGCACCAATTGTATGTAAACCTGAAGAAATATTCTTTTGTACAGTCGCAGGTGGAGTACCTAGGACATGTGGTGACCAGAACAAGCGTAGCAGTAGATTAGTCTAAGATTGAGGCTATGGTTGATTGGCCCTTACCAAGGAATTTGAAGGAGTTGAGAGGATTCCTGGGTCTCATGCGCTACCATCGAAACTTCATAAGAGGATATGGCATGATAGTAAAGCCACTTACGGAGTAGTTAAAGAAAGTCAATTTCAAATGTGGAGAAGCAGCAACACAGGCCTTTGAATAGATGAAGAGGGCCATGACTCGTGTATCAGTCTTAGTACTTCCAATTTTCAGTAAACCATTCGTGATAGAGACAGATGTGTCAGGCTAAGGATTGGGAGCAGTGCTCATGCAGAATTAGTGGTCGATTGTCTACTTCAGCCAAGTTCTTACGGCCAGAGCGAGAATAAAATCAGTATATGAACAAGAATTATGGCAATTGTTTTAGCCATTCAAAAGTGGCGGCCTTACCAATTGGGACGACATTTCTTGATCATGACATATCAGAGGAGTTTAAAGTATCTTTTGAAGCAGTGGATGGTGACTGAGGAGCATCAAAGATGGCTATCCAAGTTATTAGAGTATGATTTCAAGATTCAGTACCGATTGTGATAGGAGAACAAGGCAGTTGATGCACTGTCGAGAGAGGTAGAGGAACTCCAATTGACGGCCCTATTAGAGCCCTTGGTCCTAGATCGGGAGCCCTTGAGACAGGAAAGGGAAAGCGCTGAGGAGCTGAGGAAAATAAGGGTTTAAAAACTATGATGACCCAAACGACATTGTAACATATAGAGCATTTAGTAGACTAAGATAAACTGCAACTACTGGGATTGATCCTCCGATCTACAAAGAAACGGAGGTTGGAATTGACCCTCCAGTAGAATCAAAAACATCTTCTGATGACGGCTCGAAGGTGGAGGAGTCTCTCGTGACTCCGATTGAGCCAAATCAGAACTAAGTTTGTTGAGACATCGTAAAGTTCCGACTGGAAAAAGATTCCGGCCAAAAAACTAGATGGAGGTTGGTCGGTTAGGCTGAGTTTTCGGAGACTAAAAGATCCACGGCTGCGTTTGGCATTCAATCGCTGCAAGTTCGCGGCTCAATCACGGCAAGATCGCGACATTTGATCGCGGCAAGAAGTATACAGGCATCTAAGCAGCTCAACAACGAGAAGAAATTGGTTGCTGGAAGAAGTTGACAGGCTAAACTCTGGCAGATCAGGCCTGGAGGAGATCTGAAGCGGACGCTTGTAAGAGATCTGAAGCAGATGCCTAGAAGAAACAGAAGTCTGGAAGAATAGGTGGCATGAAGCAATCCTAGCAGGTTGAAGAGAAGGGGCGACAGCTAATTTAGCACCATAGCTCTGATACCATGTTAGAATAGGACCAAAAGTAATCTATGCAAAGCGAGGTATAAAAACCCAGTACAGGATCTACTAGTAAGGAAACAAATAAAAAAATAATAAAAGAGAAAAAGAAAAGCAAATAAAAGCAATTAACACAAAATTCTGCATATTAATATTCTAATATTCTAATACAAGCAAATAACTAAGTTCCAACATGTTGGCCACCTAAAACTCCTTTGAAGTATTAGTTCAAAATGGGTGACTACCACTTCCCTCTCCACATATTTGGTTGGCCCCTCTTAGCTTCATTCTCTTGGATATGTTTTTAATTCGTTTTGATGTAAAATCATAAAAGTTTTACATAATGAAAAAAGAAAGATTTGATGTAACTTCGTTCAGGTTTCGGATTTTTTATCCAAACAAGAAGGGCTTAGCTGACAGCCTAACCATTAAAAGGGTTTCATCTCTTCAAGTCTAACCACCATGGTGACTAACAAGTTTACAAAATCTCTATAAAGGTTACTTATCTATTGTTGTAGAAACCTTTTACAGCCTCCCCTTGACACTTCCATGCCCATTCAACCCAAATTCCACATAAAACCGCAACTGGGCATTATAAGTCCGCACTTGATTGAAGAAGATCTAGCCCTGCTCAAGTACCCATTTAGCTACTTGAAGCCGTTGAAAATTTGTGAAACACACCAGAACTAAAATAAACATGTTACTAATTATTCCAAAAGTTGTTTCAAGCCCCATGGTTCCACATTTCCGTAACACCAAAAAATTAAATGCCCACAAACATGCTCGTGTTGGGACTTGTGTCATGCATAGCCAAACCGCATTGACTTTGTATTTGTATTCCCACTTCTCAACACTCACCAAAGCTTGTGAGACATTCCTACCACTCTTTAAAGCCAAATTTAGGACCACCGTTGAAGAGCAAACCCTATGCCACAGTAAAATTGCATAGAATTTGATGCTTGATACGACGTTTCCATTGAATATAAATGCTGAAATTTCAATCAAAAAAATTAAAATATAGGCCATAAAAGAGTTGAGAAAAAGAGTGGGCAAAAGGGAAACCTGGTCAAGCCAGAAAGTATAGAAGATTTAAAGAAAAAGAAATATATTTTAAAAGAGCCAAAAAAAAGGAATATTTTCAAGGCTTAAAAAAATTATTTTCGAAAAAAGAAACGAGGAAATGTGTGTATGCAATGTTAAGACCATAGAAAGATATATGAAAACTTTAATTCACTAAAATGCATTAAAAAAAAAAAAAAAAAAAAAAAAAAAAAGGATAATAGTTATAGATGATCGTATTGAGGAAGGATATGAATACTATTTTAGAATCTTTTAAAATAAATTTTAAATAAAAATTTATTTTAGAAGTGTAAATAAATCATAAAGTATTTTAAATTGACAAGAAAGTGAAGCTAACTATAAAGAAAAAGATTAAAAGAACAACCTTAGGTAAAATTAAGAAAACCTATAAAGAGAGGTATGTGAATAGCTTACCTAAAAAACCTTTTCAATGGAAATTTAAGAATTTAGAGGACATAAAATAATAAGACAACAATATTGGCACAAATAAGCAAAAAAAAGATACTCAAAATTGCATAAATTAATGACAATAAAATAATGAGTTGCATAATAAAATTACTAGGTAGAAAAATGAAAGATTTTAAAGAATAGCATAAATATTGGAGAATCAGTTTGAGTTTATGGCAAGAAAAACAACTATGAAGACAATTTTTGTGTCAACACGTTTTATGGAAAAATACAGAGCAAATAAAAAAAGCTTCATATGCTTTTTTACTGATATTAAGAAAACATGTAATTAAATAACAAAAGAAATAGTTTGGCAAGCATTAGTAAAAGGAATTGCATCAAAAACATGTGGAATGACGGAATAATTTCCAGCTACAAAAATAGCATCCAATTTATATCTTTTAGTACCTGCAACTAACATTCTTAAAAAGGATATTTATGATGAAAGGTATTCGAGTATAACATTTGCAATGTCAGTTCTTACTGTTGAGAACTTTGTTGAAAGTAAAAAATTAAAACAATGGATCGATAATTACAATTAAATAAAACAAAAATTTACCTATGTTGCACTCAATTCTTATCCATTTACATATCTCACACCAAAATTTTCATTTTTACAAACACAACACCTTACCTGTACAAGAAAATGTGGATTTGACCATTCCACAGTGTTGAAAAGTGTGAATTGGGTGTTCTGTTTGCAAAAATGAAAGTTTTAGTGTGAGATACGTAAATAGATAAGAATTGGGTGTTGTGTCTGTAAATTTCCCTAAATAAAAATGAGTAATGATGTAGAATTTAGACAGCATGGAATTAATAATAATCAATCAATATTTTAAAGATAATAAATGATATTCAAGTGCGATCAAATTAAATGTTTTAAATTAGTACATAACAAATGGTGATAAGTTAGGCACCACTGTTAGAAGATATAAAGCTTCAAAAAATTATATGATAGTAAAATAGCAGGAAAGCTTCCAATTTTCATAAATATGTAGATGGACTTACTATGTTATATACATCTAAGCATTGAATCACAAAAGAAACATTGCAACCAAGTTAAGGGAGGTAGAAATAAAAACATTAAGTAGAATCATGTTTAACTAAAGAAAAATAGAAAATTGATATTGAGGGAGAATGGTGGAAGTAACACTTAATTGAAGATAAGATAATTCAAAATACACTTAAATAGCATTAATAAAACGGATAGATAAATACATGCTTCAAAAAAATGCGATAAACCAAAGGTAATAAAAATATAAATTACGCAGAGATATTTTATCTAAAAAGATTAACAATTCATGTAGAACTAAATAGTAAGAATTGGGTATAATAATTAATAAAATAAGCTTCAAATAGCTAGAAAAAGGATAATGATGATGATGAAAAATTAACCAAAAAAAATTCGTACATCTTTGAAACAAATATGCAAGTTACTCTAAAAAGAATTTATCCAAGTCAATCAAAATAGCGTCCCAAAAATTATATAAAGAACGACTAAATAGATGAGAATTCTCTCATCATCAATCCTAAACTAACAAGAACATACAAATGAACAAATTTTTCTAGTCTTTCTCTGCAATCAGCACCAGAGGTTGCCATGACCAGGAAATTTCCTCTAAAAAAAAAAATATAACGAAAAAGAAAGTAAAGCTTTACATACCTTGGGATGCTCCTCTAAAACTTGGGCTATCCTAAGTGCTGTGTTATTCTGTTCCTGTACACGCAGATGCAAAGTTTTCATGCCTCTGATGAACATAGCAGCCGCATCCTGAAGGGAATCAATATTTATTGAAAAATAATAAACAACTGTAATGATTCCTTTTCAAAGAACATCAGATGAAAACAAGAATAATGTTTACATCACAATTTAATAACAGCAAAAATAATCTCAGGACTTACAGGATTAAGAACACCGCCAATAACATTATGATGTAGGCGTATTTTTGAAACTAGCTGTTCTGACCCACTAATGCAACCTCCAAGCACCTTTAAAAGGGAAAATTTTGTTGAGTTCAAGACGATAATTTCATTCAACAAAATAAATAAGATGTTTATTCAATTAACTCACGTCATTATGACCACCAATATACTTTGTTGCGGAATGAAGAACTAAATCAGCACCCAATGGTAAGGCTTTTTGATTAAGAGGTGTCGCGAAGGTTCCATCTATGCAAACTAAAGCCCCTTTATCATGGCAAAGCTTTGAAACCAACGCAATGTCAACACATCTAAGGAAAGGATTAGTTGGACACTCTGTAAAGAAGAGAGAAACCTGATAGAGACAGAGAGAGAGCACATCAGTAGACTGTGGCGTGGGTATACTGATAAAAAATAGACAAAACAAGAAAGAAAGCCATTTCGACCACTAACATTTTCTTGATCCAGTGCACACTTCAGTGCATTCATATCAGCAGGATTAATGATGGTAACCTGTAGTTTGACGTAGTCAGATGCGTTGCAAGAAGAAATAAACCACACTATATTGAATGTGAAACCGAGTATGAATAAACATTTTAAAGTGCACAGCCTAATTTTTTTCAAAGAATATAATAGAAAAATGAATTTCACAAATCAAAGTACAGGGCAAAAAAAAAACTTCATGCTTTTCAAAATTTTTAGATTAAAACATTTTAAAAAAGCAACCTAAATCTCAATATATATACCAGGAAAATTTTAAGAAAAATCAATGAGAGTTTCGATGGTAAAAACATGTAAAATGTATAATCATTTAAGAACAGGTCGAAAGAAGCTGGTTAAGGGCAATGAAAGTAAAGTGCATCAAAACAATCAAAGAAAAAGAAAGAAGGTTGCAATGAAGTTTGAGAAATCATAGTCATGAGAATACTCTACAGGCATTGAAACTAGTTCAAACACAAGCTCAATAAAAACCTAAGACAACAGAATTAAAGGCCTAATCTAGCACTAACCAAGGGCAACTCAAAATTTAAAAAAATGATTTGGTATAAATCAAAAGCCTATCAGACTATTACGTTGGCGCCTAAGTCTAAGGGCAATTTTGTCTTTTCTGTAGCTAAAGAAAATTTAGTTATTTATCATTTATTATTGTTTAGTATAAATATGGCTAAATGTTTATGGTTAGGGAGATGCATGAGATTATTGTTCTGAGTCTTAGGGCAACTCAAAAATTTAAAAAATGATTTGGTATAAATCAAAAGCCTATCAGACTATTACGCTAGTGCCTAAGTCTAAGGGCAATTTTATCTTTTCTGTGCCTAAGGAAAATTTAGTCATTTATTATTATTAAGTTATTTATGTTATTTATCATTTATTATTGTTTAGTATAAATATGGCTAAATGTTTATGGTTAGGGAGATGCATGAGATTATTGTTATGAGTCTTAGGGCAACTCAAAATTTAAAAAATGATTTGGTATAAATCAAAAGCCTATCAGACAATTACGCTAGTGCCTAAGTCTAAGGGCAATTTTGTCTTTTCTGTGCCTAAGGAAAATTTAGTCATTTATTCTTGTTTAGTATAAATATGTTTATGGTTAGGGAGGTGCATGAGATTATTGTTATGAGTCTTAGGGTTAAGGTTAGGATTTAGGAGAGATTTCTTACCTATTGAATTGTAGGATTGAGAGAGATTGTCTACCTCTCGAATTTTTGGTGTTTATCATTTATTTAATATGTTTGTGGTTGTATTGTTTGCTTTGGAGAAATTAAATATTTGTTTTGTCCTAATTTCTATGGAAAATCCTATCAAATTGGAATCAAAGAAGGATTCTAGGACGAAATGAGGGGATCGTTGAAAACGGGAAAGGGCGTTAGCGATACAGTAGGAAGAAACAAAGAACAGAGATCGTCATACAGTGGTGATTATATCCAACGAGGACAACAACGTCGGGATTGCTACATAGCTCTTCATATGTTGATCCAGCCGCAACAAAAGCTAGCTGAGAAGCATTGATGATATCACGATTCCAGCGAGTGGGGAAGACGATTCAAGCTAACTGGGATGCCCGCGATGCAAACCATGAGATCACAATAAGCAACGCCTCAATCACGGGATAGCAACAAATAGCGTCTCCTTTACAAAGGCGACAACGGGTCGTGTGCAGGAGTTCCACGATTAAAGCGATCTAGGGAGCTGTTGCGGGATTGCACGATCTAGTCGTGATAAGCCCTAACTGAAAGCAATTAACGATATTGAGGCCATACAGGAACAGGCAATCCACTTATAGCTAGTCGTGAAGGTATCTAAGGAGTTCTTCATTTGTGATAAAAAATTGTTTTGGGAAGGAACGGCGACCAATTAAGTAGAAGATTTTGAGAAAATAATTGGAGGAAGTGTTGAGTCAGATCAAATATGTGATGGAGGAAAGGTTCTCCACCATAAAAGGAATGTTTTTTTCTCTATAGACAATAAGTTTTCTTCCATGAAAAATTGAATTGACGATCTATTCAAACACTTAGAGGAGACGATGAGGAAATTTGTCGAGATGTAATTTAAGACCCCCCTCTATATTTCAGTTTGTATACCCTAACCAATGTTCGACTGAAGATTCCTTTGTCAAACTGTACGAGAAAAAAGATCGGACCAGAGGAATATGATGAGGGAGAAAAGCATACACCATTAAGAATGGTCCCAGGGCTCCGATGGGGGTGGATTAGAAATTTTCGATGAAGACGGTTCGACCGAACAAAAAGAACAGGGTATGTAGGAGCATGAAGAAGAAAGGGGAGGAGCCGCAATGGGTATGATTATGATTAAAGAATGAAATTTTACCCTTGATACATAGGGTGAAACACTGGAGGGAGAGGAAGTTGAGGTGGAAATGCTAGAGTTAGGAAGTTAAAGATGTCGATATTCGAGAGGGAAGACGCACATGAGTGGGTGTACTGGATGAATCGAATTTCACGGTGAATGGGCTAAATATGGAGAAGTTCATGATGGAAAGATTATGTTTGGAAACAAAAACCCTAGCATGGTTTCAATCGAGGGATGCTAAATACTTGATCCGCTCGTGGGAAGAATTTAAGAATTGCTTGTTGAAACGTTTTCAAGTCGTTCGAGAAAGTAACCTACACAAACAATTCTTTGCATTGACTCTTGAAGGAACTGCCATGGAATATAGGAAAAAATTTGAATTCTTGTCGGGAGAGCTTAGGAGAATTTTTAAGCGGTATTAGAGAAAAACTTCATAAAGGGTTTAAAGCTCGACATAAGTGCACCACTTCGGTCACTGAGACTGCGAGGCTTGGCAGAAACTATGGAATTAACACAGTTAGTTGAAGATTGTAATGCAATGGAACAGACTAACAGGAGCAACACAGGTGGATCGTCATGCATAACTACTACAACCATGACAATACCTAGAGCTCAAACAGTTGAAGTTCAGAGGAAGGTTTCACGGGATAAGAATCATGGGACACGACCGGGAGTGTCTCTCAAGCGCCTTACAAAAACAAAGATTCAGGAGAAGCGAGTCAAAGGTTATATTTTTTATGTGATCCCAAAACACAGTTGCAATAATCAAACATTACAGATTCTCATAGTGTGTGATGATAAGAAGGATGATAAAAAAACAGAGATAAATGAGGTGGAGAAGAAGGAACAACTTCACGTTTTCTAACATTGAGGACAATGTCTCTTGAGATGGGAATATTTTTACGTCGGTGTCTAGCATAAGGGCAGTTGTCTTTTATGCGCCTAAGGGCAGTTGTCACGCTGTCATTGTCGGTCCCAAGCCCGAATGTGAAAAGTGGAGGGTTGTGTTAGATAGTCGACAGCCAGCATAAAACTTGTCGAAAAAAATCATGACATGAATCCTTTTGATACTAAGACTTTTAATATTACAAGTGTTTATGTTCCTCAAACAAGTTTAGATATAGAGTCTAAAGATAATTTCTGGAATGATTTAGAAAACTTCAAACAAATAATGTCTCTTGAAGAAAGAATTTTTATTGGACGAGATTTAAATGGACATGTCGGTAGAGTAGTAGAAGATTTCAGAAATACTCATTGTGACTACGGTTTTGGAGTAATTAATGAAGAAGGTAGAGCTATTTTAGATTTTATTTTAGCGTATGATTTTGTCATTACTAACACTTCAATCAAAAAAAAAGATGAGCATCTTATAACTTATAAGAGTATATCTAATAAAACACAATTTGATTATTTTCTTATGAGAAGATTGTCAAAATTGTAAAGATTGTAAGGTCATTCCAAGTGAGAATTTAAGTACCCAACATCGTTTATTAGTTCTAGATTTTAAGATAAAAAGTTGTAAAATAAAGAATACTAAAACTCATCATCGTAGAATTAGATGGGAGAACCTAAAATGCACAAATAAAATTATTTTTATGACTAAAATTCAAGATTTCAAAATTTAGGATTTTCATGAAGAAACAAATATTATGTGGAATAAAGTAACAAACACTATTAAACAAGTAGTAAATGATGTAGTTAAAAAATCAAAAGTAAATTTTTTTATAAATAAAAATAGTGGAATAATAATGTGCAAGAAAAGATAAAATATAAGAAGTTATGTTATAAAAATTGGTTTAAATGTAAAAACTTAGAGAGCTAGGAAAAATATCAAACGGACAGCAGGGAGTCTAATAGAACAATCTATGATACTAAAAATTCTGCTTTTAGTGATATTTATAATAGATTAGATACTAAAGAGGGTTAAAAATATATGTATAAACTAGTCTATGTATAAACTAGTCAAACAAAGTCAAACAAAGAGAAAAAAAATTAAAGATTTAACTCAAGTAAAGTGTATTAAAGATGAAAATCAAAAGGTGTTTTTCTTAGAAAAAGATATTCAACATAAGTGTGTGAGCTATTTTAATAAACTTTTTAATGAAGTTTCTAAAAATGTGATTGACCTTAGTGATCTTAATATCGTGAATAATAATAAAACGTTTCATTTTCCCCGCCGCATTAATAAAAAAGAAGTTGAGGATGCTTTAAAGAAAACCAAAGGTAGAAAATCTGTAGAACCTGATGATATCCCAATTGAAGTGTAAAAACATTTAGGAGATTTGGGAGTTTCTTGGCTTACTAAGCTCTTTAATATTATTTTAAAAACTTAAAAGATGTCTGAGGAGTGGAGGAAAAGAATTTTGGTACCCATTTTTTAAGAATAAAGGGGATGGACAAGAGTGCAAATTATAGAGGAATTAAGTTGATGTGTCATACTTTAAAGTTAAGGGAGAAGATAATTGAACATAGGTTAAGACTTATTACAAAGATTTCTCGTAATCAATTTGGATTTATGTCGGGTAGGTCTAGTATGCAAGCTATACATTTATTGAGAGGTTTGATAGAGAAGTTCAGAGATAATAAGGAGAATCTACATTTGATTTTTATTGATTTAGAAAAAGCTTACGATAAGGTTCCAAGAGATATCCTTAGAAGAGTTCTTGAGAAGAAAGGTGTTAATATGATATGTATACTAA